AACTGGGCAGCAACTTTGTTATACGAGAAATTATCTCCTGGCTCGCGCGATTCGATATATTTAATCGCTTCTTGAATCGGATCCATATTGGTGAAGTTATGACGCGTTGAAGTTTTGTTGTTGTGTTTTTGGGGTGGGGCGTTGAGTGACCTGGGGCGTTAGCTGACACGCTACTGTAACGCAAAGGGCCGCCGCGGGAGTCATGCATCCCTGTCGCAACTTTACTGAGTCTCCAAATCTTCCCCACCAAACCTCCAACCCTCAAACTCATGACATCCGCCGCGCCCTCGCCTTCGTAGCAATGGCCGACCAAGACGAAGACGCCTCGCATCTGCGCGCACCTGACCCTCCCGACTACGACCCCACAGAGGAAGCGCAAGATTTCCTCAAACTCGACAAACTCACGTACGCCTTCAGATGCCCACGCACCACCACCCTGCTTCAACATGGCTGACACAACCCCCACAGTGTCCAAGACACGGCACACCCCACACTACCTAAGCGCGGCGAAAAGGACTTTGAGAGCCATGAAACGAACCTCCAGCTCGACACGCTCGAGGCCTCGCGCCGGGCCATGCACGGCGTCCTCTCGTGGCAGCGCACGCACACACAGAAAGGCCATATCCTCGCCATGTACGACCCCGAGCGCAACATGGCATGCGTCGACAGAGTCCGCTCACAGCACTTCCAGACGATAGGAACGAACAAAGGAGGAAGAGAGTGGCTGTTGCCCGAAGAAGCCCTGTTCTTGCTGGAGCGAGGCACCTTGGACGTCCGGTGGCCGGTCAAGCGCGAGGTCGGCGACAAGACGGTATATAGAACCGAAGACGGCGCGCCCATGAGTCTGCAGTCGGCGTATGCGGCCTTCATTGGGTTCGAGAGTGGTGTGGGTGGAAAGCTGACATTGGAAATGTACAACGTCTATGCCGGACTGAAGAGATCGGGGTACGTCATCTTTAGGACAGGGACGTGGGACGATGATAGAGGGGATATCGTACAAGCACCGCCTCCAGCAGCAGCACAGCCATCATCCCGCCCGAGCATCGTCACGCGCTTCTTCACCGAAGTCTGGCGGCGCCTAAGCCAGCCCGAACACCCCATCTCCGCCGAGGCCCTCGCCTTCGGTCCGCTCGTCAAGCCCGGCTTGTATCGCAGCTACAATGACATCTACCGCCTCCTCAAACTCATACCGACCCACGATCGCTCCTCCCCTCCTACATTCGTCCTCCTGCCCTCCGCAGACAACCCATACCGCGTTCACTTCGACGTCTACCGCACCACAGCCCGCTTCAAGAAGTCCGCTCGTGGTCCACCAGACTTCCGTATATGCGTCGTCGACGCGCGCACAACCCCAATACCCACGGGTGCACAGCTAAACGACCTCATGGCGCAGGTGCCGGAGGACAGGCCCAAGGAAGATGGTCATCCGAACCAGAGGTTAAAGCATGGGTGCAGGAATGTGGTGCTTGCGGTCGTGGATAATGGCATACCGAGCTATCTGCGGGTCGCGGATAGTCCGTTTGAGGAGGTCAAGATCTATGAGAGGTCGGCGCCGAGAGGGAAGGGCGGAGGGAGAGGAGGGAGAGGAGGTAGGGGGAGGGGGCGGGGGCGGGGAAGAGGACGTGGAAGCTGATGGAGAATGACGCATTACACCGTGAGGGATAATCGTTATCAGCGCAGGCGGTGTTTCTGCGCTCATGGTACCCAACGATTCCCTAACGACACGATACCCTCGAATAAATAAGGTCACAAGTATAAGATGCTTAGTGTTAGTCTTGTGCCAAACGCCCTCGCTGACCAAATTGCAGCTAAGCATGTGTCGTCCCAGCGCAATAGCATGGTGATCTATTAACCGCTTCTACCGACAATAGTGGCCAGGCGCATCAAGCCAGTCTGAAAGTCCTACAAGATGACGTTGTGGCTGGTCTCGCTAACCATTACGACCTTGTCGTATCTGCAGCCTCTTCATCGGAATCCGGAAGCGGCGAAAGAGCCATGGCAGCTGTAATACAAGAACATGCCATGATGATCATCTCAAAATTGAACATTCTCAAGCTGAACGACACGTATTGCGCGATGTACACCTATAGCAATCTCCCGGACCGCACTGTTAGACTACTCAGGCTCTGTCAAGGACAATACGAAGATCCGCTCTGGGGTGACCTATCAGATGTTTCGCTCAATGACCTTCCTCCATACGAGGCTCTCAGTTACCTTTGGGGACCGCCGAACTTCACCGCCCAGATTCACATTACTTGGTTCAAGGCACATCTTATGATTACGGAGAGTTTGGCAGCAGGTTTGCGACAATTTCGCCACGAAAACAAGGATCGGTATCTGTGGATAGATCATATTTGTATCAACCAGCAAGATCTTGATGAACGATCAGCACAAGTCAAATTCATGGAAGAGATATACGAGCGCGCTGCTTGCGTGCTACTGTGGCTTGGCGAAGATGTCGGTAATAATGCGCCACTTGCGAATACTATCGTACAAGACATCGCCCAAATGCGAGCGGGGAGCCGAATCCTTCAGACATCTCTGATCTTGATAACTATTTCTCTAGCAGGCGAGGCTAAGCCTCTTGAGACGATGGACCGGGTTTTGACTTTCCTCCATCCTCGCAATGCAACCGATCCTCGAGACAAAGTTTACGCTTTCCTGGATCTGCTCGAAAATCGCACGTCGGCTGCGTTGTTCAAAGAACTGGTGGACTATCGTAAATCTGTACTCCAGGTATATTTCGATGCAACCACAGCATCCATGTAAGAATCAACGGGTCTAAAGATTCTATCGACAACGAATCTCAACCATACTATCCTTGCGGCGAGGCGTGAAAATGGCTGGCCATCTTGGGTACCAGACTTGAAATATCGACCTGGCCCGACAACTTTGGCTGGTTACTGCTGTTTTCCATCTGCCTGCCACTCGGAAGCAGATGATCGACTGATGAAAGTCACGACTGTAGAGTTCCCCACAGTGAATAACCACTACTCCTTCACCACCACAGGTTTTGTGGTTGACAAAATCTCCGCGATCTCGCATTTCTGCAGCCACCCGGAAACATTCGCAAACATCCCTCGGCCTCTCGATTTGTACGCATATATCTCTGCAGCATGGCGAGTCACACGTGGTTCAGTCTCTGTAGTAGACTTTGCACAAGCCATCATGTGCAGTAACGCATCTTTCTGGGAGGAAACCGGCGATCTTACGGAAACGAATGAGAGTGGAGTCCTTTCTCCGCTTACCCTATGAGGGTTCGGGAAGTACCGCGCTGCCCATGAAGCTGTTATCAAGCTCCATAGCATCAAGTCACGCACATATCTCATCTTCGCTTTTGCGTTCATGACTGGTGAGGATGCGTTTCGTACTCGAATTGAGAATACGACCAGGGTCCTGGGCGACTCATTCGATGTCAAAAGTGAAATCCAGTTGATCGATGGGTTGATCAAACAGCGGCACACGTTGCTGCACGAAGCATGGCAGAGCGAGATGCGCATGATATCAGCACAGTTCGACTTTGATTTACCCGAGGAAGTGTCCCTTGATGAAGTCCTGAAGCAGCGACGACAAGAGAAACTCGATGAGTTCGAGCGGAACCACACTGAAACATACCATGAGCTACTTGACGCGTTTGACAAACAGCTCGAGCGATACTATCTCAATGAGGACGACCGGAAACAGGCCATCTCGACGCTTCTGATCGCTGTTCATGAGCCTACTGATCTTACAATCGCCGCCTTCAAACCCTTTTTTTGTCGATTTCGGAGAGTTACTTCAAACCGTAGATTTTTTGTAACCGCAGATGGCCGATGTGGTTTGGGTCCAAGTTGTCTCGAGGATAATGATGTCGTAGCCATCTTAGCTGGAGGTTCCGTCCCATATGTTTTGCGTCCTGTGGCTGGGAGTTACAATTTCATTGGAGAGTGCTACGATGGCGACTTTATGAAGGGTGGAGACTTGGAAGGGCGAAAGGATTCGACGTTGGACACGATCCGACTGCAATGATCTATAGTGTTTATTAGACCTTCAAGAACATTCATCCCATGCTAGGTCACCACCCCAAGCGCCGAATATATAGCCAATGAAAAGACCATTGAGGATGCACTACTTCTGAGGGATGTCACAGGTACAGGGTGGTGGGTGCCAGCCTCGTGCCATACGCCCTCGCTTATAAAATGGCAGCTGTGTGCTAGCCCACCCTAGAGAATGAGAAATGGGCATGGTCCTTATCAGCTTATGGTAACGAAAGTTAATTGAACATAAGACTATATGAAGACACTAAAGGGAGAAGAAACACCAATCGCTTTTCGTGTTATCTACGCTAGCTGGGCAAACCGCTACCAAAGGTGATCGACCACCATGTATTAGCGCAAGTAGACAACACGAGCATTTCAAGAAGTAGCATAAACACGATCAATATAATGATACAGAAAGCCGAACAAAGCAGGCAGCCGCCGAGCTTAAGACGCCTGCGCAGCCCATTGGCTCAACTATCAGCCTGTCTATCAAGGTCAATGCTGCGCATAGCATCTGAACAGGCGTTAACCAAGGACACCTGGCGTAAGACTGGAAAAGACTGTGGCTTATACATCATGCTGTAGTTTGGATGTTGCTGCGCGAATTCTGAATGGTAGCCTGGTCCACAATGGCGGCACAAGAATGGCGCAGGATTCCCAACGGTGCATCAGAGTGCGAATGCACCCACCAGTATCATGCTTTATTTTGTTGCATGATGAACTCAGTTCTCGCAGAGTCTTGTTACCTATTCTGCCCCCAAAAAACTAAGAATCCATGTGTACGGCGATACGACTAACGCATCGCTGGGGAACGTGACCGCTGAAGGATTATGACGTACGAGTATTGTGGCATAGCGGGGTGCATATGTACAGGAGGATCAGGCTCGACCCGCAATCGGGGATAGGTAGGCATGGTGAATTGAAGTTTATAGCTATCGATCGAAGGTGGGTAGGTAACCGATAAGGATCGCAAACTTGCTTTCTGGCCCCCAATATACTCATCGGCTTCCCAATCTCACATGACTATCTACTACACCACAGTATGTAGAGACCTTTGTTATCAGCTCAGTCACATTCTTTCTACTCTCTTGATACCCAACGATACCCGATCGAGAATCTAACGTCAAATGAGAAATCATAGTCGCAGAATGTTCGGCATCAGCCTTGTGCAGAACGCCCTGGTCAGATCACTCTTATCTGAAAGTATGTGCCTACCCAATACATAGAAATCAGCATCGTAATCGGGGCGAATCAGCATATAGCAATCAAAACGTGTACGGTTGTTGATGCATGATAGGTTACTGACTACTGACTCTTGGAAAAGCACACTGTCCCACGAAAGTCTCACCGGTAAGAGCTTCTGCTCGCAACTAAAATGCGAGGTCTATCAAAGGGGTATCGATATATAGAACTGATTCCCACGTTGTGGGCGAGATCGCTGTGACACTCAAGTTACTGTGCTTGCGAAATTGCAACCAAGTCTATTCACATACATACAATATTGTCCTACGTTTATACCACTACCTGTTTATCGGAACCTCGCATCAACGACGTACTGGAGTCTAGAATGGAGTACCAAGCCCTTAATCATGAATCTAACGAGATTCGAGTACTCCAATTTGTGCGTACTTCCGCTCATACTACTACGCAAATGGATTACGAAGCAAAGGAAGAGGTAGTGGGCGTCGGTATGTTGAATCTGACTCTTAACAATCGTCCTTTGAGCGACACGGATCCAAATGAATCGCGCAACGAATCAGGATCATTCCTGGTCCTTAGTTATACATGGGGTACTACCGAAGACATGAGAGAGATTGCTGTAAACAACTCAAAAATAACGATCCGCCGCAATCTCTACCAAGCCCTCAAGGTGCTGCAATCACACTATCTGGTCTGCGAGGGCAATAGCATGTGGAAAGATGCACTGTGTATCAATCAGAACAATGCGAATGAAGTTCACGACCAGATTAAAAGGATGGGCGCAATATACAAGCAGGCACATCGCGTAGTAGTTTGGCTTGGTGATGCCGCCGACAACAGTGATTTTGCCATGGACTTCATCAATGCGTTCAACGATTTATTGGACGCTGGCGAGTTGCCACTTCGCAAGTCACTAGGGCATTTTCTATCAGTCCATGGTATCGATATATGGGGTGCGTTGTCATAACTCATGTCGCGCGAGTACTGGTCTCGACTGTGGATCATTCAAGAGCTTGCTATGGGAGGGACTTCGACTATCATCATCTGCGGACACAAGACAACAACATGGGAACGGTTTTTCCGTGTGTACGACTCAACACATACCCATAAACATGTTTACAGAGATGCAAGATTAGCAACGATCTTCAGAGAGGAGCTTAGCATATCGGGGTTGGAAGTACTGGACGCCCATGACCGAGTGAAGCTATGGGTTTGGGAAAAGAGCGAGAACTACCAAATCATAATGCAAGACGTACGTCGACACCGCCGCAGCGCACAAGAACATCTTTTAGCGCGAATGGAGCGGGCTAAGTGCTTCAAGGTGGTCGATGAAGTCTATGGCACGCTTGGTCTTCTGGATGAGGCGATATCGAAAGCCATACTTCCAAACTACGATATACCAGCTCGTGATGTCTTCATTGCTTTTGCAGAAGCCTGGATCCAGGCCGAGATGAATTTGGAGCTTCTCATCCATGGCGGTGAGACTGGCAACGGAGACGAGTGGCGAAAATTGGACGAACTCGATTTACCATCTTGGGTACCGGATCTCAGGAAGCAGACTATGGTTCAGTACAACGTAGCGCATCCAAAGCCCCACGCGGCTGGTAGTCAGCGAGCCTCCTTCACCTTCCTTGGAAATTCTGTATTGTCGACCCAAGGCATCATTTTGAGTGCGATCGATGGATTGAGTGAGCGACGATGTTGGAATGAGGATCCAGCTGCTCTACAGAGCATCGTGAACGCAAAGCATGACGCCAATGCTTACGGAAGTGCTAGCGCATTCCGAGAAGCGTTATGGCGAACTCTCGTTGGAGATAGGGATTACCAAGCGCGCTCTCTCGTAGATGATACACTCCAGTCCTTCCTGGACGTTGCCATATTCGACGCTCCAGCTCCTACTAAAGCGCAATACCGAAGCGATCACATCGACTATCAATCGTGGCTCAAGACTAATGCTTCTTTTGTCCTCGGTGGAAAACCTCTGAAACAGCATTTCTTACCTCTGAAGTCAATTGAACATGAACCGGATGTGTATTACAGCTGTCTGCGTTGCTTCTTTCTCGGAAATCGAAAACTTTCCGTCACGGTAAGCGGACACATCGCTCTCGTATCGCAGGCGGCCCGCGTTGGCGATGTCGTTGCGATTCTCTTTGGATGCAGCGTTCCTCTCCTCCTTCGCCCTGTTGAACATATGTTCAGAGTCGTTGCGGAATGTTATGTGCAGGGTGTGATGCAGGGTGAATTGGCAGCTCTTGTCCCACAGGAAAACCCTGCATATCTGAAACGCGATATACTGCTTTGTTAGGATATACTATGATGAGTTTGCTTCCACTTCAATGCTCTGTGGCCAAAACCACCACGGTACAGCGGTAACCCTGCCAAGATCTCGCGAATCAAATATAAAGCATACAACAACCAGATTCTCCCCCAGATCACGAGCGGATGATTGTCGCTATATGTGATGGGCCTTCTGCAGAGGACTCAGAGGTAGTTCTACACACTCGTGTTACCAAAGCCGCGTTATCGAGGAGCACAGAAAAGTGGGGTGGTTGTATGAAAAACGTGCAAAGACGACAGAAAGAGAAGACTGCGAGAAGCGCCGCTAAGCTAGCGCTGATTGGGCGTCAATCGAATCGGCCGCTCTTGCCCGGCTGGTCTGCAAAGGCATCATACACCACCTTGCTTATGGACATGTCAGTTTGCGGCGAGATCTATTCAGCCTTGTGATTAGCGCCCTGCTCCTCAACGCCTTGCACTTAGCCTGATGGTACATGCTCACGTATGCCGATGACTAAGATGTAGCGTGTCGCTTACCCCGCGAACTGGCTAGGTTATCTGGCGAACGGCGTACAACGCGTTGCGCGACACTCCTTCACTCAACGCTGGTTACCCACCACCTCGACTCTCGCACATTTACCATGGCAATTCGACCGATTGACACCAACAATTTGGAGCTGAAGTTCTTTGTGGGATCTTCCGTCCCCAAGTATGCAATTTCATCACACACCTGGGGCCCCGAAGCCGATGAAGTCACATTCCAGGACATGTTGGCTATAAACAGAGGGTCTGAGAATCCAAAAATGGAGCGACCGGGATATTTCAAGATCATCGAATCTTTTCGAAAAGCTAGGTTAACCGGTATCGGGTACTGCTGGGTGGATACATGTTGTATCGACAAGACCAGCAGTGCTGAGCTGAGCGAAGCGATCAACTCCATGTTCAGATGGTATCGCGATGCAGCTTTTTGCTATGTTCTCTTGTCTGACTTCGAGATTGAACATACCCGAGACATGAAGTCGATCGGCGAATGCAGATGGTTCAAGAGAGGCTGGTGTCTACAGGAGCTTGTCGCTCCGCGAAACGTTGAGTTCTTTGACCGTTTGTGGAACTTCCTTGGAACAAGAGAAGAAATGTCGTCCCATATCTCGAAAATCACGGCTATCGCAACGAACGTTCTGACCGGACAGGTATCCATGGACACAATCCCGATAGCTCAAAGGCTGGCGTGGGCAGCGAAGAGAGGGACAACGTGAACAGAAGACATTGCTTATTGTCTCTTGGGAATTTTTGATATACAGATGCCTATTCTCTATGGGGAGGGCACGAAGGCGTTCATACGTCTACAAGAAGAGATCATGAAACAGTCGAACGATCGTTCACTCTTCGCGTCACGGCAACCTGGCGTGCATGAGCGGTACTGCAGTTTGCTAGCGCCTTCCCCAAGGTATTTCGCTCATTGTGCGAACCTCGCCCATACAGAGTCACGTGTATCAGGGTAGTGCATATGCTTTGACCAACAGAGGGTTGCAATTCTCTGAGACTGAACTCTATATCGACTGTCTTTCCGGTTTATATGTCTTACCCCTATCCTGTATCTCGTCATCAGATGCAGAGGTTATCGAGGGTATACTTCTAGAGCAAGTCGGACCGAATCTTTTTGCAAGATTGAGTCAGCGCCCTCGTGTCGATATTGTACATCAAATCCGCTATGGGCGGAAAGTGCCTTCAGTTGTCAAGAAAGGGATACATATCGCCTCGCATGTCACACCTGCGATTCATGCAGACATGCTCTTGGCAGATGAGTAGACGATACAAGTATCGTCAGATACACTCAGGCTTGATCATCCCTACGCACTACAGATTGGAGACGAGATAGCCGGTAGCCACCGATGGGACATTGCTGGAATGCGATTCCTCACGAGGGGTCATCCAAACTTCAGAGGCTACTGGAAGGTCAACGTAGAGCAGGCGTTGGGCTTGAGCGATAGGTACCTGGTACGTGATATGTACCTGGTACGTGATTTGAAAGAACACTATTGCTATCTGTCCTGTGGGTTTAAGTGGCGGGATAGAACCACAGGGTCAGAACCGTGGGTCCTTCTGTACACAGAATCGTTTCAAAACAGTACAATGGTACCAGTATTGTTCCAAATCCTTTCCTTGAGCTCTCAGGCCAGAAAAGTCTCGCAACGAGTCGACTGTATCTCGGTCATCATCGATATACTCGTGTGTACCTTGACGCGTCGATTAAGGTAGACGAGCAGGCACGGAAATTCAGGCTCAAATTCAACTTGACCGAAGCGGGATAGATAAGTAAAGTAGGTCGCCCTTGGTGCTAGGTGATTGCAGCGAGGAGACTAGAAGGATGAGTCGTAGGAAAACGAAGCTAGAGATTTGTGAGCTTAATCTTCGCATCGATTACATTGATGATTCCACAAGTACAGAGCTGCCATCTCCAAAATTCGTTAGAGCCTAAAGCTATCTACATGACAGCGCAACGAATATTGGTAAATGGTTGTTTGGCGATTGCTGCCGGCGAATTAGCGTCACAACCTTACCAGCCACGTTGGAGTCGTATGGAATTTGTATGCGACCGAGTACATCATTAGACGTGCGCGCACTAGGAAGGGTGAATTTAGTTCATTACGAACAATCGCGAAGGATGACGATTCCGATGAGCAATTAAGGTGTCGACAAGAATTAGCGTGCAGCCCCGCAATAACGTCTCTAGGTAGCAGGCCCTCACCGTCGGCGAATTTATACTAACTTTGGGCGACCCTCGTGGGTAGGTGTCGCGCTAACCCAATTCTTGGCGTACGATCTGCGCGGACCCGGTCCTCGGATCTCCAGATACATAGGGAACCCCCTACTGGCTCCGATCTGCCATGATAACTCAATATACCTTCAACCGTTGCTTAGAAGCTAGCCTGCATGAGGTCATCTTGGCTGCCAACTTCAGTACCTTTCGGCAACGTTCTAGTCATTGTCGTGGCTGCTTGATACGAATACTGCAGACAGACAGAAGTAGCTCTCTATTCCGACCACGTCCTAATCAAGCACGCAACTCTGTCCATCATGACAGTTCGTCAGCCATACTCGCACCGAATATCCTTAAGATTCACCGAGCCGTTTCACAATTTCGATCTAAGCGCATCGACCTCTTCCACGAAGCCTCGCTCCCAAGCCTCGATTCCAGCGCACGGATGCGAGTCCAACCTCTTCGCAACTTCACTGCGTGTCCTGCAAGTGCTTGCGAAGCCCAACTCAGCAACTTGCTCCACGCCACCAGTAAATAAATTAGCTCCCTCCGCGAGACTCACAGTCCTCACGATGTTGCTGTCAATCAGGCCGGCTTTGCATACAGCATCTGCGACCGCCTGCGACAGGTCAAACCACGTGTGACGTCGATGCGCGCTGAAAACAACACCCTGCTTGCCCGTTGGAAGGGAGGCGCCATCCTGTGACAAGATGTTGATAAGCGTCAGCTCGTATAATCTTGCAAGGTCCTCGATATGGACTACAGCACCAAGTTAGCGTACATCGTGTAACTAAGCTGCCGCGAAAGAAGTACCGTTATCCCATACACCCTTGCCATCACCAACAACAATGGCTTGGCCTTCCGTTATCGCCGCTCGGACCAATCGAGGCACTTGCAGACTGCGCTTGTTCCATAATCCCGTGCCGACCTGGCCTAGGAGTTAGTACCATGGGGCTCCGCAGATTGCGGGGACGTGGAGGCATCACTCACACCGTAGATCAATGGAGACATGAGGACGACTGTCTTCACGCCTGACTCCAGACCGGCGTCTATCATGCCCAACTCCGTCGTTCGTTGGATGTATCTCTTCCTAGCATTACGCGTCTTCTCATAGGTGTAGATGTCGTCCTCGGAATCGTTGAATTCCCGATCCGGGCTGGATTCAATGTGGTCCCCAGAAAGTGGTTGGTCAGCGAGATTCGAAACGCCCGAAGTATGCACCAGCCATACGTCTCTGCCAGTGTGCACCCGGCGTAGGCAAAGGCCCTTAACGAAGGCTACAGCGCTGGCAAGATGATAGCCCAGCGTCATGTTGAAGATGACATCGTACTGACTCGCTATCTCGACAAGACGCGCAGTATCTTCCAGGCCCTCGAAGAGCACAATATGGAGTCTGGAGCCAAAGGCATTGTGAAGCTGCGCAACTCTATCCTGGCCACGAACCAGACACGCTATCTCGACCTCTTGGATCGCTGGGTGTTTGCTGCGGAGTAGTTGATAGAGCACGCTGCCACCGATGTAGCCTGTGACGCCGGTAAGGAGGATCTTTATGCGAGTCATGATTGGACACACGATATCGTAGATGAAATGTAAGATACTGGCGAAGAAAGTGGATTGACTGGTAACAATGTGGTTCGAAAACTTGCACTCCTCCATATACCGTCTCTTCGCGTGAGCAAGACGGCTAGGGATTCACCCTTGCACAAGTAAAGCTTACGAAACCATTGTGATTAGGTCACTACGACTGGGACCCGACTCCCAGGGAAGCGCTTGAGCCCTCTTTAGCCTTACTTTCCACCGTTGGAAGCTTGTCATCACAAAGTTTCGATATTTATCCGGTACGGCCCGCCTCACTGCAGACTGGCTCAATGAAACCTTAACAGATTCAAGGACTACCTAGACATGTCAAACACTGATGACGTCTGTCGCATTTTGCGATTCCATTCAGCAGCGAAATCCTACTACCATTCACTGCGCGGCCCGAATACTGAGGTCATGCGTAACAGACTATCTTCCTGTAAAGCATACACCGAGACAGTAAGGTTTGGTATCGGACCCTTTATTGGCGCGGTCCGAAACGCTTCAGCCTCATGCAACGTCTCGTTGGTGTATACTACAATATCATGGCGATTGAGTGGTCGGTACAACAATTTCCGGACGAGGTAAGCTGGTTCGCCAAGCGATAAGCACCGAACGAACAAGGTGCACCTGTCAGCTTGCACTGGCCTCCTTCGATTCGGGCTCCGTATACTGCCGAAGTTTTGCCCGTCCAAACGAATACTCATCCTTATTGCTAGGTGCGGACTAAAGATACGGGTTCATACATTGGCTATTGTGTGCAGATAGGTAGTCTCTGCGTGCAAACAGGCGAAAGTATTATCTGCATAGCACACTATCGTATGTACACGGCTGACCGTTGTTTGTGAACAGCTGACTGTTGTATGCATGTAGCTGACTGCTGCATCACGCGTACATGATGCTCACAACCCTGCAAGTGGACTAACACCACGCTACGTCGGCAAGGCTGTAATCTTTAACCAAACTTTGGGAAGATAAGAGTCTTCGGAGAATCTACAGCGATCGACTGACTTCTTGAAACAGGAGAGATGGCAAAACAACTAAGAACGAGATAGTGACCATCGGGATGCCGTGACTATAAGACGCTGCTCCTACCTCATGGGTCAGCATTGCAACAGTTGACTTCAACTACACTCATTGCACTTCCCTTGATCAAGCACGATGAATGTATCTACCCCCACTTTCCCATGGCATGTCATGGCAACCCTTGACTCACTCATGTCTGAGGACAAGCTTTCTACCATGGAGCTGCCACATCCACGAACAATAGTGGCAAGTCTTTTAGCCATAGTATTCACGCTATCCTACTATCGGTCTGTCACGAAGAAGATAGGTCTCGAAAGCTTCCCTGGACCATGGTATGCACCCTACACGGCTATGCACCTTCGATGGCTCTTCGCCCGTGGCACGATCCACGAGTATGTTGAGAAGATGCACAAACAGTATGGTGATGTGATTCGTCTGGGACCAAGGCAGATTTGGGTCTCAGATAAAGGGGCTATGAAACAGATTCTTCTCACCATTGACCTGCCAAAAGTTACTATGTATGCCGAGATCTCGAGAGACAGAAGTAGCCCAGGTCTTTTCGGAGAAATGTAAGTACCAACACTCTATATCACCTCTGGAAGCAAAAATCGGCTAACGATCGAAACTACAGTCGCCCGGTGCCTCACCGCAACCTCAAGAAATTTCTCAGCCCCGCCTTCACTGTGGCATCCGTCGACAAACTAGACACCTACTTCAAAGCATGCGTATCTACCTTGCTTGACAACTACTACGATGAAGTCGACAAAGCCGTCGACAAAGATCTCAGTTTCAAGCCCAATGGCAACATCCAAACAGACCTCATGCGCGATCTGCATTGCCTCGCCTTGGACATCATGGGCGAGTCCTCGTTCGGCAAAGGCTTTGGGCAGA